TAATTAACCGCTCATCGGTAAGCGCTCCCGTGAGCACAGCAATTTGCCTGATATATAATCCTCAAGAAGGGGTGATGTGCGCCAACAGAATCCCAACCTTTCCGTGGAATTCCCAAAGCTGCGAAACAGGTAGATGGGTAGAAGCAGGTAGATGGGTAGAAGCAGTCGGACATCCGGACAGGTGGAGCTTGGAGCTTAGGCAGCCAGCCGGATGAAGAGGATAGTCAGACAGCAGCCAGCGCGATTGGTTGACGGGCAGATAAGAAGATAACGCAAGTAGGCAGGCACAGGCGGGCGATAGGGCCAGGGCCAGGGCCAGGGCCAGGGCCAGGGCCAGGGCCAGGGCCAGGGCCAGGGCCAGGGCCAGGGCCAGGGCCAGGGCCAGGGCCAGGGCCAGGGCCAGGGCCAGGGCCAGGGCCAGGGCCAGGGCCAGGGCCAGGGCCAGGGCCAGGGCCAGGGCCAGGGCCAGGGCCAGGGCCTACTGTAAAGCACGAAACCACTCGACCAAATTCTCAGGACCGCCTGGAGCCTTAAGGCCGCAAGGGTGCAAGCAGGTGATGTGGGTTCGGGCCGCACTCACCAGCCACCACCAGCGGCCGCCGCCATCAGCAACACCCCCAACCGCGCCTTTCCAGCCGAAGACCAGAAGATATGCCGTCCGCCGCGGCGACTAGCGAACCGCGACGACGATGGCGGCACAGCCGGTCTCGGTCGGTGCTGCTGCTGCGGCTGCTGCTGCTGCTCTTCCGCGAACGTTACCCTGCGGGTGCCGGGAGAGCGTCCGGACGTCAGTGCCGTCGTCGCTCCCGTTGCCGGCAGCGACTGCGTTGACGGCAGCAGTAGCGGTGGTGACGACGGCTGTAGCAGCGGCTCCAATAACGTTCCAGACCAGTCGTAGCTGCTGCTACCGGCGCCGCTGACCTCATCCCCTAGTCCTGCGGCCGCCGCCGCCATAGGCGTCACCAACGTTTTGGTGGTGGTGGTGCTGGTGGTTGGGGTCGTCTGCTGCTGTGGCGGCGGCGGCGGGGGCGGCAGCTGGAGCTCGTCACTTCTTTCCGAATGCCTCGGGAAGCTCAATCCCGCTGCTGCACTCGGGATGAAGCCCTGGTCGCCGCGGCGGTGCATTCGGATGTCGCCACCCCCCGTTGCTGATATTACGGGGACTCCAGCGGCGGCGGCGGCGGCGGCGGCAGCGCCCGTACTTACGGCGGCGCCGCCCACGTCCACCTCACCTGACACACCCACAGTCTTGTAGCCCCGTAACGCGTCGATGCTGTATGTCTGCGGGGGCAGTCCTGCGGCGGTAGCGAGTACGGCAGGCACGGCGGTGGTGCCGCCCCCTTCGCTGCCTCCGAGCGTGGCGCGCACGGGTTTGGTCATGTGGAACGGGCCCCCTTGGTCATAGGGCCCCGCGGGGTGCAGTAGCAGGGCGTTGTCTTCCTGGTGGGGCATTTGGTGATGGAGCGCGCCAATGTGAAGAAGTGAGCCCTGGCGGGGGACTGTATCACTGCAAGCCCAGCATAGGGTGCCTAAAAAGGAACCTGAGCTTTTTTCCACGAACCCAACGCCCCTCTACCTCCTCACCTTGTACGCATCCGCAGCCGCGGCTGCCGTATCCATGTCGTCTAGGGAGGGCTCCGTCAGCAGCTCTCGCACCGGGGCTGAAACGCCGGCGGCCGAGGGGGGATATGCAGCGGCGGCAGCGGGGGCGGCGGCGGCGACGGCGGCGGGGCGGAAGGCGGCAGCGGCGATGGGCCCTGCTGGCGCGATGGCCTCGTGGGGCTCGGGACCTGCTGCTGGGGAGCCTGCTACTGCTGCTGCTGCTGCTGCTACTGATGGCGCTGAGCGTGAAAACGGCGGCAAGTGCGACGACTTTGGCGGCTCTCCCAGCCGCGCCGCTTCGTCATACTCCGCATGAGACTGCCGGAGGGCTTTCTCCTAAGTCGATCCGCTCCGGGGTTCGTGTACGGCATGCCATGTGTTAAGTATAAATATATATTTATATATTTATTTATACATATGGTTGGGAAGAGGAACGCGGAAGGAAAGGGAAGCGAAGGGAACATTATTAAAGAGGGGACGAAAAGAGGGGAGAGGGGGAGGAGAGGGGGACAAGGGGAGACCGGGAAGGAAGGGAAAGGGAAGATGATACATTTGTCGGGAACTGGGCCGGGACGGTGCAGGCCTGGAACGCTGGGGTGCCAGCTTCGAGGTTTATATGTTTGGGTTGGTTTAAGGTTTGGCTGTCACAGATGCGGCAGTTATTGAGAATGCCAGCGCGCGAGCGCTGAAAGTCATTTGGTTCCCTGCTACTGGACCTTTGCCGAAGTTGCCGCACCAAATTATGCAGTGTCGTTGAGGCGAGTTAGGCAGTGAGCATGACTAGGATTTTGCTTGGGCAGGAGGAGAAAGATGCGAAAAACTATGCACACTGCGCTCTGGAAGGAGCCTCACCGGAATCGGGGGAGTCCAAAGTGTGCGCGAAGAGCTGGAAGATGCCATTGTAATGTTTCTGGAATGAGTAAAAAGGCACAGTTAGCTGGGCCCTGGGCGCTCTTGCATCTTGAAAGGATGGGAACCGCGGGTCAGGAGTTAGGTGAATGACATTTCGGCTACTAACCCAGTTGCATTTCGTTCCTCCATGAAACTTTACTTGCATTGCTTATGTTCCCAGCGTTGGAGAAAGGTCGTCCATGACATGTTGTGCATCTCAGGCCATGATTGCATGGTTTGACGTCGGTCGAAGCTAGCTATCCAATCTTATGTAAATTATAGTTCGTGTTAATATGTGCATGACCATTATGGGGATTAAATATATAACGTGTGCCTGTGTAACAACCAACTGTGCCATCTGACCATCAGCTCGTTGTGTACAGGATTCTGATAGGCTTTTTGGACAGCTCTCCGATAACATAGCTGAAATTACCATCGCTGATATCTAACTTATGGATTCCGCTAGCGAACCCCTCACCAACCCTGCCGATGATGTGACGACAAGCGGCGCGGGGGACGAGGAGGAGGAGGAGTGCGGCTGGTGCAGATGGATGAAAGCCGGCGGCTGCAAGGCGGAGTTCCAGGCAAGCACTGTAGCCGTATCGCGTGTCGTGCTGCCGCGTTGACCCAGTTGCGCCAGCGCTGCATGCACACGCATGGCCAGCCCAGAGCCTCCGTCACAGCAAACCATTTACAGCAAGCCGCGCTCAAGCGCCATGAAGTTGCAGCGGACAGTTGTGCGGTAGGCCACAACTGGTTGTGAGCTCCCATCTCGCCGCCGTGTCATGGCAACGGGGCCTTAGTTTCCACCCTCTGGCCCCCAAGCACGTTGCCTCGGAGTAGGCGGCACGCAAAGCCGGTTTGGTTCCCTTATGGCTGGTAGCTTCACCTGAACCCGGGCGTATACTCTCTCACCTTTCGCCGCCCGCACCTCCTTTCCCCCCACGCCGGCAGTTTCGTTCCTTGGACACACCGGCAGTTCACTTAACCCTTTCTCATGCATGGTTTCCCCCACCCTGTACATGGTTTCCCCCCACGCGGCCTCCTCCCGATGGACGCAAAACTCGCATAGCCTTCCCCCACCGTCTCCCCGGCAGGTTTGGTTGGACTGCGTGGATGCGGTCAAAGCGGCGGGACGGAACGATGTGGAAAGCTGCGGATCTGTCATGGGGCCGCTCTGGGAGTGCATGGAGCGCCATGCGGACTACTACGCCCCGCAGCTCAGCTCGTTGGCTGAGCGGCGGCGGGCCGCCGAGGAAGGGGCTGGAGAAGGGTTAGAGGGGGGGGAGCTGGAGGGGGCGGACGAAAGCGGGGGAGCGGGTAGGGGACACCCGGGGGCCGAGGGAGCTGGACAGGGGGCCGAAGGCCAGGATGGGCGCCGTGCTGGGGAACCGGCAGCGGCGGGAGCGGCACTAGCTGAGGAGGATAGAGGGGTGAGCAAGGCGGGAAAGGGGTTGTAGGGCTACATGAGGGCATGGTAATGGGTGACATTGGGCTCCAATATAGGTGGCTGTCCTCGTGGCCTGCATGCGGTTAGCGTGGATGGGTGCCACAGGACGACGCGCCGTTCCTTGGCCCACCTGAACCACCACACGGAGATGTCTTGGAATGAAGAAGGCCCCCAGCGCCCGGGCCGCGCGCGGCGTAAAACACTGCTATCCCCCAGATGCTGTGCTGTACTGGAGCGCAGTCAGCAGCTTGGGGAGCAACTCTTACCATCTCTGTGTGTACGGAGTAGTTTTGAGCTGCGGAAGCTGCGGCGACGAGCAAGGTTGTTTGGATGTTCTCTTATGTTCAATGTCGGCTGTGGTAAGCCGTTATCCAATCGGCAGTCAGGAGCCGATTTTCTATGAAAGGCCAGTGCCCCCAGTCTGCACAAGAAGCATCTTCTTCCGGGATTTTGTTCTCCCAGGTCCGCACCTATATCGCACCTATATCACAGTGACCCGACATACAAAAGGAAATACAGTCCTATCGGTGCGTGCGTTGGCTGCCGCCACTGAAGGAGACCGAAACAAAATTGAATCCTACAAAACACAGCCGTTTGCATGTGCTCTTCGGCCGCGTTCCCAGCAGATAGCCCGACAGCCTTGCTGTCGCGTGAACCATATAGACCGAACCTTTAAACCTGCAACCATTCCAAGCCTTTATGGGGTGCCTATCGCACGCATCAGTACGCATCGCGTATCAGTACCCTATCGACTATACCCTGCACCATACCCAGCCCAGCCCAACACAGTGCAGCGCAGCTTGACCCACATCCGCTTACGTTATGCATGAGCAGTGTTTGTATGTAACATGTGTAGTGATGCGCGTTTTGCTGTGTACCCTGAGTACATGCACGTGCATGTGTAGTGAAGATGTGTGTGCGCGCGAGCATGCTTGGATCATAAAGGTGTTGACTGCAAACAGAGCCAAGGGCCGCCAGCCCAGCCCAGCTCAGCTCAGCTCGCACCGGATGTATCGTTGTGCCGATGTGTGTTGTGTGCGTGCGTGTGTTACCTGCTGTACGACATGTGCCCCATTACATTTTGCAATCTTCTTGTTCTGAGACCGTCCTGAATGTGCCTGCCTGTGTTCCTCCCAAAATCCGGAACCTCCCCCCAGCAGAACGAGAGGGTAGGAAGCGAGCCAGCTGGCGAGGCGGCCAGTCGGACAAACAGACGTACACACAGGCACACGGCCTCCTTGCATTAGCTTGCAGCAGGGCCTTGCTAAACTGCACACCCACAAACGCGCGCACCACAATTTCATGCTACCAAACACAACAAGCCCTCTACGTCTTCCCGTGACCGCGCGTCCAAGCTATAGCGGCTGATAATGCCATCATGGGTGTTGGCAGTATGTCTGCAAGGTTCAGCAAAAGCCAGCGAGGACTGAACATACAAGCCACGACAGCTGCGAATATTCCGCACGGCGCTGGAGGGCGCGGCGCGGATGGGCTGTGCAAAAGCTGCGGCTGGTTCCACCTCAACCACTGGAGGTCTCCACGACAGCTTGTCCTGAAAGGTTTGATACCGACACAGCGGTTATCACGCAGCGCGTCACGCTCTCCTCCCAGCTAATCGTCCCTGTGGGGGTGGGCAGGTGAGCGAGATGCAGGAGATTGGGCAGATCCAACGTGCACAGGGAAGGGCATCCCTACCTCAAACCATAACACGGACAAGCCATGAAGGAAAATAACGTAGCAGCGTAAAGGGCGAGTTAGGATTAGTCTTGCAGCGTAAAGGGCGTGAGGGGAGGACGGGCGTGTTGGAGGGGTCCAGGAAGTGATGAAGGTCGGGCCGATGATGGATGTCGGGTGATGGACGACGGGGAAGGGCCCCCCTCACTTCACACACACAGACACACATACTTCATGACACAGAAGCCCAGGCGGGGTAAAAAATAAAAGGAGGCACTAGAAGCAGCCAAATAGATCGTGCCGGGTTACACCAAGTCACCACAAGACCAAGCGCTACGTGGCTCACACAGCTATTTAAGTCACATGAAGCGTAACTTTTACGCGCAGCAGCCGCAGCCGCAGCATCTCACATGTCTGAGTCCTCCAGGGCCGCCTTCGCTTGCCGCTCCGCCTCCGTGAGCAGCTCTGGGGGCACCTGGGAGATGATCGTATGACACGTTCAATCGAGCGAACAACGTCAAGTGTTATTCAGGAGATCCAAGGGAACAGCGGGTGGTGGTGGTATGGAAGCCGCTCAGGGTGGGGGTAGCCGCGGCCAGCAGAAACGGCCCCGGGCCCCATTCACTGGCGAGATGATAACAGGATCGATCCTAAGTTTCGGAAGGGGTGACTTGCTCTACATCTGGATGGGCGGGTGGGTTGGTGGGTGTGACGGAGGGTCCCCTCCCCATTCGGTCATCGGCAATGCTTACGGCTTGAATGACGGGGCACCCAAAGGAAGGTTAGGCCCTAGGCTTAGGACAGCTTGCCCTCCCCTTCTTCTCAATCCCAGCCGTTCCGACAAATCTGGGTCATCTGGGATCCCCTCTAGTGAAACCCAGAGCATCCTGTCGCGCCACGTGTACAACAGCACAAGCCACCGTCCTGATATGGTCTCAGCCCTGTCCTCGCCACTGCCCCTGATGCCGACCACTAACCACGCATGCACCCAACAATTCATCCATCCATCCAGCCCTCCCCCTCCAACAAGCCAGTGCCAGTCAGTAAGCCTGCCGGCCACCCACTAGTCCAACCAACCACCCACCCGCTGGTGTTGTTTGTTGGTCTCGTCACAGATCCAGCTGACCTCCAGCTCAAACTTCTTGCCGTCCTCGTCATGAACCTTGTGGAGACTGGCGAAAACCGGCACGGAGGGACGGGAACAGAGACGCTGGGCTGAGCACGGATGTGTGAAAGGACGCAGCAGCAGCGGTAGCAGGTGGTGGTGGTGGTGGTGCTGCTGCTGTGAGGCGTGATGCGGATGTGGGTTCATGGATATATAGCAACGCACGTTTGCAGTGGGGGTCTAAGGCTGTACTATACAAGGGAATGCAAAACCTCATACACAAACTGAGAGCCGACGAGCGCGGGGCTCGGGATGCGGAGGGACTTGAGGGGCCAATCTTTCCCGGTTTCCACAGGTTCCCGAGAGCTTCTTTCCGAAAGCTTCTTTCCAAGTACATTGTTTGAGTCTAGTATGCCAAACTACGAACCACCACCACCGCGCTACCAACATTTTCACTGCCTCGATGACGGCCTCCCGACAGGTCATCTCCGACAGCTTGAGCTTCTCGATCTCGTTCTTGGCGGCCTGCCGGCCCTTGCCCACAGCCGTGCCGAAGTAGCGCTGGAGAGGAAGGGCGTACGTGGAGCAGGCGAAGAACAGAAGCGACACAGGAACATGTCACATACCGCGGGGCAGTAGCAGCAATACAGAAGCTCAGCCGCAAGCGCAGTCCCAGGGAGGTCGAGCCCGAGCCAATGCCTAGTAGAAAATAAAAGATTAACCGAGGGACGGCAACAAAACACAACAGGGGAGACAGGGCCTGCATATACCTAGTCCTACCACGGGGGTTACCTGCGGGAACCCCCAAGTGTCAGCCCGGCATGGCCCCCCAATCGACACAGCACCCTCTCAGCCCCACCTCGACCCACCAGCGATGAACCAGACGGGTCGATGGCGTACAGCGCCGGTCCGTTCTTGTCGTACACCGCCATAAGGACCGTGGCGCCGTACGGTCGTAACGACCAGTACAGGTTAAACATGTGCGCGTAGCTGCCCACCCGCTCGCACAGCACGTGGCCTGGAATGGGCTCGCCGTACACGCGCTTGTACGAAGCCGCCTCGTCCCAGGCGCGGTTGGCCACCATGCGACCATCCGGAGCGAGTCCTGCCACGGCCTGGAACCACTCGGATGGAACGGTCAGCACGCAGACGTGAGCCGAGGAGACAAGAAGAGTACATAGACAGATGGACCACCAGCAAGGAAAAAAGAGTCATATGTCACAAAGGTTTTAGGGTGCACGATGCACGAAGACAGGAACCTGTTTACTTCATTTTCGCGGCCCAGGAACCCCCTGGCTCGTCTGGGCCCTACAAGCTACCAACCTGGTCGCATCACAGACGCCAAGTCATCATCAACACCCAAGTCCATGCCCTTTTTCAGAAATCCAAATAGAAACCCGCCTACTGACAACTTTGATAAGGCCCCTGCACCTGGCCTTTCAGATAACCACAAGCTCACCACGCCGACGTGTCGGTCGATATTGTGTATTCTGCGGTTGGATCCCTCTACTAGAAGCTTCGATAGCACCAGCTTCTCGCAGGCCTGCGAATGAGATCGCAGAAAAGGATGTCACCCTTTTATCAGGGATTGAACGAAACGCGCTATGCATTCACAGGCTCTCGGGCGGAAAAAATCCAAACGGGTGATGGATTGTGGTCCTGGAAGCAGCCAATGATGGCATGCGCCGGATGGCTGGCCTTGAAGGCCCTGGTCCTAACCCCATCGGCGCGGCCCACGGCCCGGGCCCAGCCGGCTCGACCCAACATACCAGCACAACGCCATCTTTGCACCTCAACCCGAGCACGGTGCTGTGCGAGTAGGGAGAAATTAGGAAGGGGGAAACAGGAAGGGGGGATGAGATGCAGCAGTACTGCTTGACGGGGTGAAACAGTGAAGGTAGGGACGCTGAAGGACGCCAGCGCGCCAGCACCACTACACCAACCTGCTGTTGTCCACCGCTTTCTGTGCATACTCCGTCTGAAAGATCTTGCCATCAGGTGAGTAGGTTGTAGCTGAAAGGTCATACTGCGCGGCGCCCAAGTCGAGCATTACCGAAAGTAAGCAAAGCTAATTTTAACCTATCCCAGCGTAGGAACCAGCCGCGTACCCCTGTGCCGATGCCCGACATTTTTTCGTCCGCCGCTCCACCGGCACAGAGGCGTTAAGGACAAAGCACGCGTGGAAGATCTGCCGCTCAACTACTCGATGACCTTATACGAAGTAAGTATCTCAAGAGAACAAATGAATAGTGCAACCTGTGCATCTAGTGTACACGACACGGCACAACCAGCTGAAGCTGTAGAGTGCATTGGCTGAGGCATGTTACGGCAATTACGACAGTTCAAGTTAGCTCTGGACAGCCCTTGGTTTCTGCACCGTTGCTTAGTAACATGTTCCATGAATATCTTCATATTTCTTTGATAAATGCATGAAATGGATGCAACCGTCCACGCACCGCTAGGGGGATCCCGAGTGCATGGGCTAAAGTCTGAGGTTTTGACCGAATTAGGGCTACATCAAGAAGCATCAAAGCACGAGAAAGGAGCGCTGCTTGTGCCTGTGCGCGTACATATCGATAGGGAGGATGGCGAAGACGTCCGTGAGGTGGGGCACGCACTTAGCACACATGACTTGCTGTTTAGGAAGTACCTCGGTGTTTATTTGAACAAAACCCGCTGCTATTTCGCAAATCCTCCTGTCACTTCTGTCTTGGGCCCATGGTACCCTCCTTTCGCCTCGTGTGCCTTGTGCAGCAATTCCTCTGGCGCCTTGGAGGTGCGACTGGCGAAAGGATGATCACGCAAATCTAAGAGCTAGTTGAAAAGCTTATTAGTTTACTTCGTGGCTGCTTGGACTGGGGGAGTACGAACAGGATTTCACCATAGCCAGCTTTAGCCCAGGACCCTCTTAGTGGCCAGCCCGTGGGGTCGGGGGCCGGGCTTGGTGGCCTTGTTACGTTTTACAAGCAAACTCACGAACAAAGCTCCAGGTGTCGCCAGGGGTGCCACGGTAGCACCACACCATTGCACTCAGTGAAAGCAGATGCCGCAGCTCAGGTGCAAGGTATGCAAGGCATGCCAGTGCCAGCGAAACTGCGGTGATGAAATTCGCTATGGCCACACACGGAAGCGGCGGCAGCCTCGGAAGGGGTGCACGGGCGAGAGTTCAGCGGCTCTGTTACACGTCACAAATTCTGCACGCATGTGCGGGGGTGTCCGTAAAAGCCCTGAGGCCATGGGCGTCATATTGGTATTGATGCGGGTACACGCTGTGTACGGCTCTGTGTGCGCACAATAGCATGCGCATGCGCGGGGTGCTGGCGAACTACTGCCGGCTACTAATCTACCCCCTTTGCTGCACGAGCAGTAGCAGTGCCTAGCAGCAGCTGCAGCTGCTGCTGCTGCTGCAGCTACCTCACCACCACCAGTGCCTACTGCACGGATGCTACGGCTCTCGCATTCATAGAAGGTGTAGGCCGAGTCTGATTGCTGTCGCAGCAGGCCGTCAGCTACCACCAAGAGAACTGCAGCAGCAGCAGCTGTAGCGGCGGCTAAGAGGCGGTCAACGAGCTCAAGTTGCCATTTGTGCACACGCCTCTGAAGTCCATGTCCCCCCCCCACACACACACATACTCCGAACAACCATGTCGGCCGGCTACCACACAGCCCCACATTGCACCAAACCGGCTGCGTTCTTGTTTTCCTTCCCATCCTCGTTCACACGTTTTATCTCCTCGGGAATTTCCTCCGAGAGGGGGGCCCCTCAGCAGCTGCGACTCTGCCACCGCTGCTGCTGCTCCTGCTGGGTGCCCCGACCTCCTGGACTCCTCTCTTTGCTCCTCCCGACAGATCCCGGGTACGACCCTCGGCCCATCGCCATGCGGCTGGCAGCCGACCTGCACCTCCCCCAGAACTACCTCAAGTGGGTCTGCCGGGGGAGGGGGGAAAAGGGGGAGGGGGGACGGGGGAAAAGGGGGGAAGGGGAATATAATGGAATGCAAAGGCGAGGGGGAGAGGCGGGTTATAAGGGGCAGAAGAGGGACAGGAGACGGTGTATATGTATGTATGTATATATGTGTGCACCAGGACCTCTGAGGCCTCTTAAGTGCATTCGTAGCACACCGGGGGCGTATGAACCTGGGACCCCAAACACGGGCCCCCGCGCCCCATCCCGCAGGGTCGTGGAGGACGACATGGGGCGCTGCCTCAAGGGCTTCAAGAGCTTCAAGGACCTAGGGGGGCCGAGGCTAGTTAGGTTGCAGGTAAGGCAGGCAGGAGGGCAAATGGGAGGTCGCACACGTCCATATGTGTGCCGGCATACACGCATGTATGTATGTATGCGTGCGTTATGTTGTGGGCCCAACCTTATCCGAGGGAAGGAAATACAGGCCACGGTCCCGCCCTTGGTTTTATGTGCGGCCGTGTGTATTATCATGCGCGTGTGTGTGTTGCTTGAATGGCTGAGAGCCGTGGGAAGGAGGATGCGGCAAGTGGCTGCGGTTGAAGGTCGACCCCGGGGTCCCCAACACGCGTGTGTTTTCCTGAGGTGGTATTGTACCAAGGCCAAGTGGATAGCCGTCTGTCAGCTGTGGCATACATTCGTACATACATATAGACTGACTTACATACAGACTTGTAACTTGTACAGACAGAAAGACAGGCAGACATCACTTTTTGAATTGTAACCCACCTTCCTCCCCCATTCCTCCACGTGCTGGCGTTCGTGTGCGTGTGTGTATACGACGTGCGGCGCTCCCTCCCTTAACCAGCTGTATGTACGGCGTGGTGACACGGTGTTTCGGGATGAGCTGGAGTGGGACGTGAACGACCCGGCGGCCAGCACGTTGCAGTACGCCTGCGAGGTGCGATGCCTCTCGAGGGGTGACGGACCAACAAGAGGGTAGCGGGAGGGAGCGGGTTTCCTGGTTGGAGGGCGTCTGGGCTTGGTGGCCTTTCATTCCGTCCTCGTCTTAACACCCCCACACACCTACACAGTTAGAACTCTCTGAGCAGTTTCGGACCTAGGACACCGGCAGTTCACCTCCCCTTTCCTTGCATATGATTTCCCCCCTTACACACACAAATACAGACACACACACACAAACACGCTCCTGTACGGGTCGGCGTGGTTGGCATTCGTTGCTATCCTGTAGCTCCCCTCTCCCTCCGAAACCCATCCACACCCTCCACACACACACATACACGCGCGCTGGGGGGAGGGTTCCTGGAGGTCCGTAGTTGACGCTTTGCACGTCGGCAGGGTTGGCCATTCCTGTATTCCGCGGTATGCCCTGCTTATCTTTCCCGCACACTTATGGAAATGGTTCCCGCTCAGGAGGTAATGGCCGACTTGTGGCCACACCTTCATCAGCGACCTGAACCGCAATGTTGTCGCTGGCGCTCACCGTGCCACTCTGGCTGCCACCAAGGTTATTGGTGTTGCGGGGGGTACACGGATGAGGATGTTACCATGGTGATGCACGATGCATTCCATGTGTTCGCCAACCTAAAGAAGGTAGTGCACACGATCATGGCGCTCCAGCGCTCAGATGAGCTATACACGCGCGTCATGGATTACCAATACCCCTTCCAGGGTGTTGGGGCTGCGGTGGTAACATCAGGCTGCTGGAGCGCCATGATCGTGTGCACTACCTTCTCTAGGTTGGCGAACACATGGAATGCATCGTGCATCACCATGGTAACATCCTCATCCGTGTACCCGCCGCAACACCAATAA